GAACCCTTCTATCAAGAGCATTCATTAGATCAGCTGCTAGTCGTAGGCGATCTTCTTCAATTTCCATCGCTTCTTGAAGTGTCCAATTGAGTATTCCTCTTTGTCTTTCATCACCACCTTGATTAGTCACCAACCACCCATCAATAAGTTCAACACCTTGGTAATGATCACCAGGGACGATCTCTTCTCCAAATTGTTGCAGTCGCGGAAAGGAGATTCCATCGCCGTTTGCAGCCTTTTCTAGTTTAGCTTTAACTTTGGGCCACCAAAGTTTAAGCTTCCAAATGGGCACGTCAAGCGACTGGACTCTTAACATCAAATCAACAATTGGCTCCAATATGTCGAGGAATGACAGCAAGTCAGCAATAAAATCTGACCCAGCAATCATGTACTGGTACTGATCATCTTCTGGTCGATTTGGATACAATATATCGAACGCTTTCCACAAAGCGCTGTAGCTCTTTTCAATTTTAAGCCACTGGTCGTACGATGAACTGGCAAATCTTTGGGTAGCATAAGCAACTGGTCTTCTTGCGTCCTTGTCAATGAGTTGCAGAAAAGCAAAGCCCTTTCCATTCGCAATAACGGTGTTAAAAACATTACATCTCCTCAAGAATGTTTTAAAGTGATCACTACTTGGACTTTGGTCCTTTACCTCGACCACTCCAAGATTTAGTAGATGAGCTGCATCCCACGTCACAGGAAATGAAAGTTGACCATTGTCGGAGTCTTCGATTCCCAGTTCTTGTAAAAGTCTTCTGCGCAATCCTGCTGCTTGGTACGGACCATCGGCCGCTACGCCACAAAGCCTTGAGAGAACATCTTTTGAAAAGTTATCCTTAATTGATTTTACCAAAAGTTCTGCCATAGCGTCATACGTAGCTGGCGCGAACTCTTTATAGACTTGCGGAGCAGCAACAGGAATTGGACAGGGAATGCCAGCTTCGTTCCGAGCTACAACAAGGACAGCTTGATTTGTCGTACGTGATGGTGTTGCTTTATCGATTGTGGCCCAGAAATGTGGTGGCAATAACGTTGAAGGTAGAGGCTCGTTTAGCCACGCATCGATTCTTCGGTTAACTGATTTCTCCAAGCAGGAAAGAATATCGTTGAAATTATTTCGACCATATCCAATATTTCCGACATCGACTGAGCAACATGACAAGAAGGAGATCATAGTCTCGAAATGTGTGGCTGCTGCGCCTAGGTTCAAATCAACAATGACCGCTCGAAATATGTTGCTTGCCACGGTTGATCTTCTTTTATCCCTTTCCTCTTCTTTCCTGGAAGCTTCCATAGCCTTCTTGTGTAATTTGTTACCATCACCCAGCAAACACATGTGGTCAATACACAACTTCTTCTGCCTATACCAGCTATTGTTATGCCCCTCTACCAGAAGTTGAGTGACATCCTTGCTGAAGATTTTTCCGGTGCCGAGTGTTCCACTTCCACAAGAATTAATAATTCTTTGGGCTTGAAACGGGGATAGGTTGTTAAGGGTAGGCCTGGCTGTAACCTGCATCTTAAAGCAAGGGTTGCAACGCAATATTCCAGTGTTCGATTCCTCATTATAAAAAAACTCCAGGTATTTGGATGCCTCGGCCAACTGATGAATATTACTCGCCGTTCGCATTGCCGCTAGAGATTTCAGGACTTCGTTATCTTCTGCCACGAGTTGTTCCAAGCTAGAGTGTCGTTTACCAAAATTTTCAACCTTTATAGACAAGTTAGATATGGCTTTCATTACGTCGTCGATATTTCCTTGGCTACTTGATCGAATTGATCTGTTGGTTTTCGTCACATCCTCAGAACTTGAGTTAATTCCTTGGAATCCTTGGTCACTTGATTCGGATGAATCTCTGCTGGGTTTAGTCACCGCTGTCACTTCCTTGAAATTGTTATTAATTCCTTGGTTAGTTGGTTGACTTGAATCTCTATTGGTTTTCAAGTGACAGAAGGACAGCAACGTTTTTTGGCTGGTTGACTGACAAGAACTTGTGGGAGCATTGGTCGCTTGAGGTCTACTTTTATCTTTTGGATCTTCTGCATGGACTTTTTTAACTTTACCATATTTTGCATACAACTGTCGGACATCGGGTAACACTGAACTGACACTGAGAATAGAACTTTCAATATATTTAAAATATTTAGCCATTTATAACCACCATTTAGCTACTACTACAACCAGGCACACAAATTTCTCGACTCCCTAAAGAATTATAAAGGCCAATCCAATCACCGAGCGATTATTACTCAAAGTCTCGCTTGAACATTTGATGCTGTGCCAACCACCAAAGCTCGAAACTTGTGCGCCAACCTCGATGTGATTGTGCACCAGCAATCCAAAACTCACGCCGAAGATCTTCCACAAAACGTGCACGGAATGCACCCTGGATTAAATGTCTGTTTACATATTAAATTTATACTTCTGACAATATCACATGTTGTTCGATCAGAAATGCAATAGTGTAATCGGGCACAAATTAAACTATATATATCAATTTATAATGAAATCCACAGCAATCAGATGGACAAAAAAATTGTTTGCAGAAGGAAGCAGGTGCAAAAAAATTGTTTGCAACGACAACAACACCAAAAAAAATGTTTGCATTGACAAAATGTCCATCCCCCCTCTGGTCCGTCCCTAAGTATCCTATTTATAAACAGGTGTGCAACTTCCTCAAAAGTAGGCATGTTGAGAAAGCGCTTTAAATAGTACTTAAAGATGAGAAGGTATTGCTCTAGATATAGTAATTATTTGCCATTCACAACGGATTTGTGTACAGGTGTATGTACCACATAATATCACAGTACCACAGAATACCAGCTTTTTATTTCTTTTATAAAATTTGAAGGAAACATGCTATATACTTTATTTTTTGTGAATATATATTAGCTTTAGTCTCAATGGCCATATAAAAACGAAAAATGGATATTTTCATAAAATTCTTTAAAAAAATCGGGATATCAACAAATAAAATTCCTTATTTTTGGTACTTTTGTTCAGCTTAATGCCCTTAAAATCAGAAAATTTGAAAATAAGTTCGCAAACATGTTTTACATTCACCAACAGTTTACCAACAGTGATACAACATTTTTATCATGTTTGCGATGTTACTCTGAGTGCATATCCACACCGGGTGAGCTTGAAAAATATACGCGGTGGGATTCGAACCTACGACCTTTGAAATACTAGCCCAATGCTCTTCCAACTGAGCTACGCGGTCAGGACGGTTCGAGTAAGTGATATTTCGGAACAGTATCTAGTTCCTTTAATACCAATGTGTTCTAGTAATATGAATTTTT